TGTTTTTTTTAATTACACAAATGTATTTTTTTTGAAATATCTCTCACACCATTAATATGCACATTTCTAGCAATTTCTAACTCTATTGTATTTGTGAGTTAAAGAGCTTCAAATAGAGTTTTTCTAGAACTCAAATTATATGTGAAAAGGAGCTATAAATGCCTACTCAACAGTTGAATATTTTTCCAAATTTTTCAAAGAAAATTTCCGGTTAGGACGAGGATTTACTCTTTAATATTCTAAAATACGTGTTTTGGGATACCCTGAAAAAGGTTGTTTTTTTTTCAAAACATCCGTCTGTCTGTGAACACAACTAGCGCCTAACCCATGCGTAGGAATTTTTCCAAATTGAAGAAACCCCTGTCCAACTGGCTCGTGTCGAAACTTTGAGATTTCGAAAGACATCAATTACACGTATAAAGATCTCATTGGTCTGATTTTCAGGAATAACTCTGAATTTTAGAAAATTTAAAGAATTCTGGATGTTCGAAAATTATGAATTTTTTTGGCGCCTTCCTACACCTACAATATTAAAGGTACGGATTTTTCCTTCATATGAAATTTGTTGTCCATAAATTGTTCTTTCATTTAAGTCAGGTACATTTTTTGAAACTTTTAGAAGTTTTGCTCAATTTTGCGTGGATTATGTGGAATTTTAAACTAGTGGTGCTACAGAAACGCAGACATCCGAGTATTAGTTTTATTTTTCCTTTGGTCTTCGATAGCTATTCGAATCTATCGGCGCCTAAAGTACATTTTTTTTGAAATTTTCTTAATTTTTCGGTTTCCTAATAGTAGAACGGAATTGTTATTTTAAGACTATTCGTCCAAAATATAAATTTTCTTTGAAAAAATTGGAGCCATTGTTAAGGAAATGGGGTTTAAGCGCTTCTGTAAATTCTAAATTTGAAGCTTTTTTCACAGAAAATTTTTTGTTTTCGAACAACTTCAATTGGATTTATTTGATGATTATTTACGCACAAATACAATAGGATATCAAAATTGCTGGAAATAGTAAAATTGTGATATTTTTAATAAATTACATATGTCTAATAAAAAAAGTGCCCCAAAATTAACTTTACATTATATTAAAGAGTGTACTATTCGTTTGAAAATTTTCAAGAAAAAAAATCAGCCATTCATGAGAAAATGGCGTTTGAGTGTATCTGAAAATGTGGAATTTTCAGCCAGTTTTCACAGAAAACTCTTGAGTGTGACATGTATTTGACATTATTTAAAACACATGTACTCATAAATATAATAATGTGGACAAATCCCCGCTAATATAAATATAAACGACGTGAGAGACACGTTAATAAAAATACATTTTGTAAATTAAAAAAAACAAACAAAATAATACAGTAACATGGCGTTTATGTCATATCAAAGAGTACATTTGATCAAGTAACAAAGAGAACTCTTGAGAGCGGAACGGGCCACTAGACCCAAACCTTGTTGCTGCTGCTGCTGATGATGATGATGAACAGTACATTTAGCACTATCTATTGTAGCGTCACAGCTTGCAGCTGCTCAGCGCTAAAGCGAAAGGTAGAGGGTTGAGGGCACTAAAAATAGCCGCCCGAACAAAAGGCTGCACGCTTCTGGAAATTCTCTTCTGGAAATTCCAAAGACAACGCTAGAGACATGTCTCTATGCAGCGCGTCGGGGGGGGGGGGTGACGTGGGAGGTCGCCCCTATATAACGTCGCGTCGCGAAGGCGCGGGTGGGTAACAACTATGGTTTCCTCGTGGCGAGTCCACGCAACTTTGTCCGCCCAGCCTCGTGCGGAGTGCCGAAGGCACATGGTGAGTTCATTGGGAGTGCCATTGCGGAGTGCCGAAGGCACATTCGATGAGTTCGGACCAGGCGAAGTGTTCCTCAACACTGTAAGGCAGATTGTCAATCTGCCAGGGCACATCTGATGTCAAATTGCGAAGCGGCCTAACAGGCCTGTCGCAGGCGTCGCCGCAAGACGCATGTAGAGAGAGCAGTGGTAGCTCTAACAAACCGCCTTAAGAGTGAGGTTTTGTATATATGTACATATAAGTGAATAATCTTGTATATACTCACTCGAGTCTGTTTCCTTTGTGGAGTAGATCCCTATCCACGACGTTACACTATACCAAAAGTTTCAAAAAAGTCGGAGCCATTTTTGAGAATATCTTGTTTTCGTTATTTTTTTAATATTGCAAATATTGCGCGAACACTGCTAAAATTTTCAAAAAGTGTAAATGACCTTAATGAAAGACCTGACAATGGAGAACACATTTTATTTGAAAGGAAAATCTATATCTTCAATTTTGTAGCTGTAGAAAGACGCCGAAAATAATTCAAAATTTTAAATTTTCGTAAATTCAGTTGACCGTGGAAATCCGACCTGTGCTACCATTATAAGCGTATTCTACTCTAATATTACAGGAAATTTAAAGAAAAAAATTGGAGCTGTTTTTCAGGAAATTTTAAAAATATTCGGGGGACTGCGTGTAAAGTACTCCCAATTTTGAAGAAAGGTTTTCAAAATCGCTCTTGAAAAGAATCAGATCGACCGAAAAACATTCATTTTTGAAAAAATCGTACGTATGATGTAGGAGCTAGTGGTGTTGACAGACGCAAGGATGGACAAACAGACGGACGGACGTTTTGCCGTCCATTGAGTTTTCGGTATCAAGGACCCTTAAAACAGGGATTCTGGCTTCACCAAGTGTTAAAAGATTTTTCTCTTAATTTGTCTACTTTTTCGTTATCAGAGACGGGCAATGAAATTTTTCTAACGAAAATTCGCCGTTGTATCGCGCAGAATTACGTAACTATCTCTATATACTACATATATTACTCCGAATACGGGAAAGTAAAAATAATAAAAATATTTATGGAAAAATGTCTTCATATGTTTCTTTAAACTTTTGGCAAGGATAGTGCATAATGTACCCTAAATTATGAAATAAGCACAATTTTGCTTTATTGTATTTTTTTCAAAAATCATAAAAATGTGAACAAGTTGCAGCTAATAACGAAGTGAGAGACAAGTAAAAAAATACATTATTGTATTTATGAGTGCATATGAACAAAAAGAAAAATAAATTATTTTTACAAAACAGTGATATATAATGAATTAGTTTACATGTGTATCGTATAATTTTTTAAAAAAATTTGATATGCTTATAACTAATAATGAACTTCAGCTTCCGGGTCCAAAAAAAAACATACTCCACATACATCACATACAGTTTTTGACTACATAAATCTAAATGTGCTTTAAATAATGTCAGACAAAGTTTCTCAAAAACTTAAGTTTTAGCTCTAATTCCTGCGTTTTCAAAAACACTAAAGCAATTTTTCTCAAAAATGGCTCCAAATTTTTTCTTTAAACTTTTCTGACAGATAGTGCTCATTACACTGTTAAAAGTGATATAAAGTTAATTTGGGGATATTTTTTGTTTTTTTCAAAAAATACTCAAAGGTATTTTTAAAATATCTCTCACGCCGTTAATATGCATATTTCCAGCCATTTGTAAACATTATTGGATTTTTGACTTAATGTACCTCAAAATACTGTAAATTATTTTTTTCGAAAACAATTTTCTGTGTAAAGAGGTTCAAATTTCGCATTTACAGTAACGCTTAAACACTATTTTCTTAAAAAATGCTCAAAATTATTCAATGAAAGTTACCATTTATGACAATGTATGAGTTTTCACTCTTCTTTAATATTCTTAAAGTAATATTTGGTTTCTTTGATTAGGAAACCGAAAATTGAGAAAATGTGAAAAATATACTTTGGGCGGCGGTAGATGGCTGCTGGGAAGGACATGGGGCAAGACCATAAAGCCTGTCCACAAAAAGGAAATAATAAAACTTTACTACGAGAAAGCCTGTGCTATTATTACGAGTAGCGCCAATGGTTTTTCTTTATTTAGGAATTGAATTGATCTACGTTTTCGTTTCCGGGTGCGGCATTAAGATATTTTTGTGTCGACAATTTGCCGTTTTACGGCCCACGATTACAATACTTTCTCTTCTTACGTTAGTAAGTGTGAGAAAATAAAAAGCATATAATTTAAATAATTCAATTGCTTTTTTTATTTGTGTTAATTTTTCTTTAAAAACAAATATATTAATTTCTTTTGTAAACAATAAACAATTGCGTTCAAATGTTTCTGAAACTCAAATTTTTGCATAGTAATAATTTTTTAAAACTTACTTTTGAGTGTTTATTGCGGCTCAACCATTCAAAATCTCGGAGTTTATTAGAGAAATGTGAATGTTTTATTGTGGGATGTGCCGGTGATTCTCCCCCAACTGAATCGCGAGATACGGTGCCGAACTACGTCGTCTTGCCAAGATTTTCCCCCACCGATAACTCCCACCAGCGGATCGCCGCCCCAGCCGGGACATGCCAAGTTTGGTACTGTAGTGACTAAGTATCTGTAGAGTGTGGGATAGGAAGAGGAAGGAAAGATGGCGTGCGGGCCCATTAAAGACCCGGAAAGATGACCCCTTTGTTAGGGTACTGCTCGTCATTCGCCTAGTGTTGTTCGGACAAGCCACGGAAAACTATGTACCGAATTTTCCTTCAGGCAGCGAGCGGTTGAATTGGATCTACTACCTAGCTATGTAGCTAGTGTAAAAAAATCGTGCAAATACGTTTTGGACTCCAACCCTAAGATCTTCCAGTCAGAGGGCCTACAGTGACTTCTTTTCGATGCCTTGACCCACCTAAACCGCCGCTACCGTGTGTTAAGTGTACTTCGATTTAATTATAATCACTTGTGACGTTTGGTCAGTTGGATGCAGTTGTCCACTTGGGACAACTGCATCGCTTCGTTATGACTTAATTTTTCGGGATTGATCCTCTCGATTGAACAACTACGCCTAGCTGATCATATTCATCGTTATAATTAAATCAGATAATAATCAGTGATGCTGAAGTGGTCAATGACGCTGCAGAAGCTTCGGAGTTATCACAGCCAGAGGCAGTTGCTGTCACCGCCGTTACTCACCCGCATCCAGGAGCTGTCCACCACCTGCCCCATGGTGGGCCGCTGCGTCGCCGACACTCGCAGCATGCGCTGCACCAACTCTAACGCCACCACCGACACGCCGGACCAGCGCTCGGCTTGGTACAGCACCTGATGGTGCACCCGCAGAGCCTCCGACATGCCGTGGAAGGGCAAGGCGCCGGTGAGGCTGGACGACCAGATCGACAACATCAAACCTCGAAGCTTGTTTATTTCCATTATATTTCGACGTGTCATCTTTCCGATTTAAATCCCCCAAGAAGGGAAGTAGTCTTACCTGTAGAAAAGCATGACGCCCATGCTCCACACGTCTACTTGCTTTGTGTAGGAGCGCTCCGTCATCACCTCCGGCGCGAGGTACAGCTCCGTGCCAGCGACGGTGGTGAGCGCCGAGTGGGCGTACTCGTCCTTCGCCAGCCCGAAGTCCGTCACCTTGATGAGGGTGTCAGGGTCCCGCCGCTGCAGTAGGATGTTCGCGGGCTGCGGAACACACGTGGCATTGCAGAGAATGACACGAAAGAGAATATTGAGAGAGGAAGTGTGAAGGAGGGATAAAAAAGTGCTCCAAGAGATCAGATTCCAGGCGAATTCCGAAGTAGTACTTTCACAAACGAGTCACGACCTCTCCCAATCTTTGCGCTGCCATTCTTGTCCCTTCCTCACACACACACACACACACACACACACACACACACACACACACACACACACACACACACATACACACTACACGTCGGGAAACCAGACAGAAGCTTAAGCTTGTCCCGGCTGTGGTGGTGTTTCTCAGACGGAGATTCCAAGAGGGGGAAACCCCGCAAGCCAAGTGTATATCGGCGCCGGATATCACGCACCATCACGGACGGGACACCATCCTCGGTACACGAAACTAATAACCAAAACAACTGGCGCGCCCGGAATCACCAACCAATAAATAATTAAAATCCCAGACACCGGAAGGCAGTAGATCTCGGGTGAGGAACATTTAAGTGCAGTTCTAATAGAGACCTGAAGTGTGAAGTGTTTTAATGGTTCAGCCTATTCTATAAATCTATCTCCACGCCAGTTCAAGAAATTGTTGAAGAGATTACGAGGTACATTTATTACGAAAAAACAACAACAAACGTTTCTTTCATCTTCACCTTTGATTCAATTATTAATATAAGGGCAATATAATAAAGGAAGCAAGAGGTGTTGTATGTTGTTTTCGTAAAGTACCAAGAGCTTGAAAATTACACCTTCTGCATATTAAAACCAAGAATGTTACGTCAAAATTCAAAACTATTATTATTTCAAATTTTTAGCATTGGTGGCCTAGATAAAATGTCAGATGCGTTTCCGAATGTGGTTGCGAATCCTCAACAGAAGTTTCGTAAACCTCAATTAGAGTGCGGATTTTTAACTCTAGTTGGTCGCGGTCAGGTCCCAAACCATGGCTAGTCTGATTGGATTATTCATTTCATTGATTCCTTATTCTAGCGAGACTCAGGTCATTAGGCTTGTTCTTCTGCAAGATCAACAAAAATTTCGCTACTCTCCTATCATCGAAAGAAACAAAGTATCACTCGGGCAACGTAATAGTCAATTAGAATTTAGCGTGGATTCCTTTAGGTTTGAGTTGTTGTTGGTTTGTTGTTTTTTGCAAGCAGTAATTCTCCAACATGGGTCTGCTGGCATTACTTCCACTCCGAAAGATGGCATATGAAGTATTTTTTTCGCTCTTAAAAGTACTCGGTTTCTATGGGATCTGAACCCGCGAACTTACGATAATCGTTACAACACTGAAAGCGCTATACAGGCCGCCTACTCTGATCAGCGATTCATACATCTTCCTTTCTCATTCTGTCCCTTCTCCAATCCTTAAGGACGCGCTATGGATTCCATCTTCACATGGCACATCCCCCTGATCTCTTGAGACCTTAACTGTATTCCAAGAACGTGGTTGTCCGTCCAGTGCGAGCGCGAGAGAGAGAGAGCGAGAGCGACAGAGAGAGCGAGAGCGGCAGAGAGAGCGAGAGCGACAGCGACAGAGAGAGCGACAGCGACAGAGAGAGCGACAGCGACAGAGAGAGCGACAGCGACAGAGAGAGCGAGAGCGACAGAGAGAGCGAGAGCGACAGAGGGCGAGAGCGACAGAGAGCGAGAGCGACAGAGAGCGAGAGAGAGCGACAGAGAGAGAAAACTAGAGAGGGCGCGCAAGAGAGAAAGAGAGAAACTATGACATTCATAAACATAAAAACTAAAAAAAAAAACTTACGTATTTATGAAATTTACCCACGACTTTGGATGCACGACGTCGGTAACAAAATATGAAAGAATATAATTTTTACTTTGTCGCAGCCCCTAGGGGAGAGAAAGTTATGTTATGCGGGGAGAAACCGGCGAATTTTTGGCAGGAAAACCCTTAATACCGGGCCCTGGTAACGAAAAAGTGCATAAATCCAGTTGCTAAATTTAGGGTAAACGCTCCTCTAACACGAACAATCGATTGAAGGCAAAATATGTCCGTCTATGAACAACATTTGCGGTTAAACAGTTCAGCCGATTTTCTTCAAAATTGATATTCCCCCATCGATCTGGCTGACGTCGCGACACCTCGAATTTGAAACTGATATTTTAATTTTGGGGGTACTTTACATGAAGCCGCTGGGATATTTTCAGAGTTAAAAAAAAGCTCCGTTTTTTGTTAAATTGTGTTGTTAGATAGCGTGAAGAACGTTTAAGGAAATGGTGTAGAGCTCATTTCGTTAAAAACTAATTTTTGAAATTTACAAAAAAATAATTTTTTTCAGTCTTCCTAGAACTACAATTAAGAATATATTTTTCCCTTAATGAAACCTGTTACTTAAAGATAGATTATGAAATAAGGTCATGTACAACTTTTTGAAAACTTGAGCATGCCACCTTTTCGCGAAATGTACGTGAAATATTGTTAATTTTTATTTTTTTAAACATTTTTTCCCTTTGCTCTACAGTTTTTGAACAAATTTTTTTGTTGGATAGTGTGATGAACGTTTAAGGGAATGGTGCAGGTATAATGGTTGTTGAAAACCCCTGATTTTTCGAAAATTGAAAAAAAAAAGAAACTTTTTTCGTCGTCTCCTTACAAATACAATTATGAAGAACATCTTTTTCTTAACGAAATGTGTTCGTGAAAAACAGATGCATTTCGAACATATGAGCATTTTTTGAGTAATTTAGCGACATTGTTACCCGCTCCGATTTTCCTGCGCTTCGTGAACATAATAGAGGTGATTTCATATAGGATGCTACGTAAGTTAGAATTTGTATATTAATTCATATTTCTTTGTTAGTTTCTTACATTAGAACTTTTGTTTATTCGTTTACAAATTAATCGTTTAAGTATTATTTACAACATATTTTAAATTGCGTCCTTTAATTAAATGGAAACGAATAGACGAATTCGCGTTGCGTAATAAGATGTGAAAATGATAAATAATGCGTGCAAAAACAGTGATTTTAATGAATATAAAAATATTATATTTAATTATTATATTTGTTCCATCCATTTTCATTTTCTTGCTTGCGGTATCAATGATGTTAATTTGCAAAGTGTGTATCTCATATGAATTAGTGATCATTGTTGCTTGTTGCAATCATTTGTGTTACATCGCACTGATAACAGGGTGATAATGATGGCCGCCGTTCGTTAACGTTAATATTAACTAATAGTGTTATTTAAAGCGAAAATACGCATCTTTGGTACAGTTACGTACAACGTGAATAATAAATTCAATAGCAGAAAGCCGATTTCACTGAAATGTGTAATTTTTTTTTTAAATATTGAAAAATATGTATGCGAATATTAACTTATTCTATGTACCTTGCTTATATATACTAATTTGTGAGAGGAATGAACGATAGATCCTCTTGAAAGAATGTAACACTCAAATGTAGAGATGCTTTTTGTTTCGGTATCAAAATATCGAATATCAAGAAACATTTGAATTATTAGGAATTCGCCACTTCAAAAATCTTATTCCTCGATTTTTTTGATTTTTTCCTAATAACATTGACCTGAAACGAAACGCGCCTAAATAAATATTAAAAAGAGAGCGGGATAACGCTACAATTTGGGAAAATTTCGGTAATTTTCTGTGTTGCCAAATTAGCCAGCAATATATGTCATTATTTTCACGGGAAGCAGTCCATAAAGGTAAGCTACCTCTTTTAACATACTACTTTTTCTAAACCAAATATGGGGCTTAGTCTCCCAACAATCATTGGCTCTACGAAAAAGGATGATTAATTCTGCGCGTTTCTTCAAATGTAAGTGGGAATCGAAGAATGCAGATAGCTTTGCATTCTTCGTACTTTTTATCAAACGTCAGTGTTGGAAGTCGGATGTATTACTTCTGTGACACGCGCCGTGTAGTTTTCTGTCAGAAAAACGTGATAGATGCACCACGTGTGTCGCTCATCAATCTACGCTTCGAAAAATGAATACTCCAGTTTTAATGACCGGTTCAAACGAATCTCGTGAATCAGCAGCTGACTCTCCCCGCCGGTCTACGGTTGCGAATACCGCCTCCCGTTGAGACGGACACAGACGGCATAGGCTGCACCACTTAACATAACTTCTTTGTTACGAAATTCCTGTTAGAAAGGGCGCTTCGCCAACCCTAGCCGGTGGACCGGTCTCCGCGCTCGGAATGAAAGAGAGGGAGCGGTGTTAGGAATAATAATAGGTCGAGCGGGCCGCTGCCGGCACCGTTGCGCGAAGGACGAGGAGCGCAGGGCGAGTGCGAGTGCGTGCGGCGAGGGAGGGGATGAAGAGAGAGCGACACAATATTCACGAGTGCGCCCGCGGTTACCCCGTGTCCGCCCCGCCGCCCCCTCAGCGTCCTCTGAAGCAATTGGGCTCTTTCAACCTTTCCTTCCTTGCCACGCGGAAGACGATCCAGTACAGCCTCGAAGAATTACGACTATTAGTGAAGCGTATTAAGGAAGAGCAAAATCATGCGACATATGCATTTAGGAAATTAAATGCCCAGATGAGTGTCTAAAACCAGACACAGTTCCTTAATTTAATATATCTTAGATTACCACTCGTATTCCTTTAATATAATATTATGTGCACAATATTTACATGCTTGTGCGTTGAAGTATATTTTTTACTCAAAATTAGGTGTAGTAAGTGAAGATACAGGTCACTCACATCGAAAATAATTTCGACATTTGTTTCTTTTATTCCTGCGACAAAAATATAATTTCTATAAAACTCATTAATGAAATATGAATAATATTTGTATTCAATTTAATATCCCTGTTTTCCATTATAGAAACAAATATATTATTAACTTATCTGCACCAAGTTCCATTATCCTTCAAATAAAAAAATATCTTACACATACGATGAATTCTTATCGACGAATTAAGTAGAACTTCGAATCCACTCTAGAAAGCGAGAAGTAGGACACGACGTTTTCGTTGTTTGATTGTGAGGTTGATTTAGAAATCAGTGACGTTAAAGTGAAGGTTGAAACATAATTTAATTAGTTCTAATGATATCGAGTAATTTTTTTATATTTTTGAGATGACGCTATTTTCATGGGTTTTCTGTCATTTCTTAGATGTATATTGGCTAAGATATTTCGCATGTTGAAACTATTTCTATACACGTATCATTCTTCCTACCTATGAAGTAATGCTTCTTAACGAAGTACCAACAGTGATGTCTTGCTTAGTGATGAATCTACATTTTCATGAGTGTGCGAAGTATAATAATTTATCGCAGAACTCGCAAGAAGGCATTTGTATACATATTACCATCTCTTGAGCCTTTAATATTATTGACGATGATCTTAATTGTCCTTTGTCATAAATGTCTTTCAGATAAACGACCTGCATTTCCGTTTGTCATGAGTTTCTATTCTCTCAGGCATTTATGTGTACGATTATAGGGGCTTACTTAATAGAATTATTGCAAGTCGCACAATTTGGACGAATGTATGAATGTGAAAAGATGATGTACGAATAAGAAATTATGTCAAATAAAAATCAATGTCTCTTTTAAACACCAGTGTCAAAATGTTGAATATACATGTCCAATTCATGTATACACACGTGTCATATACAAAACGTTCGATAAACAAAAATATAGGGTCTGGATGGTTTTTCTCTCACTCGTTACATACTTTTGCAACAAAAAATAATTAGATTAACATCACGTTTTATGGCAAGAATACCTTTGATTTAGGATTTGGAAGTATTACGAGATCCAGTGAATTATGAGTGAATAAGGAGCGTCCTTGGTTTCACCTAAACCGTTGTCAAGACTGCCATTGCACCTCCAGCGATTGGTATAATCTGCACAGGTAGGCCGAGCACCCTGCTCTCAGCGAGGGGTCAGGAGGGGGAAGGGGGTGCAACGTACCTTGAGGTCTCGGTGGCAGATACTCTTCTCGTGCAGGTAGCGCATGGCAAGCGCCAGCTGGAAGAACAGCAGCTTGCTCTGCGCTTCGCTCAGCGGCCGGCGTTCGTTTACGTAGCACGAGAGGTCTCCGCCGGCCAGAAACTCCATGACCAGGAACTGCTGCTGGCCCAAACGCTTCACGGAATACGTCTTCACCACGCACGGCTGCGAAAGAATGGCAGGTTCGGCAACCACGTTTCGGTGATTTCTCACACGAAAAGGACAGAAAATAATTGGAAGAGAATGTGTCCGGAAAAGGGCATTGAGCGCACTACGAAGCAATCACGTAATTGCAATTTATTGGGGTAATACCAACTGCCAAATTACTCTTTCTGAGATATTAGTTTGCAGGTGAAGATGAGGTCCCCTCTATTCTTTTTCCAACACGTTTAAATCAAATTAAATTTAAATTTGTGAACTATAAAATAATTTACAGTTTTCAGTAATCTCTATAATACTTTGCCCTACTATTCACATTTTAACTTGTTTATGGGTTAGTTGTAGTTCACACACAGATGATAACTATCTCTTAACTAATAAAATAATTAAATTAACGATATCCTACGGTTTGTAATATTAAGTTAATTTATTGCCACCTTATAATATTGACATCGCCTTAAATGAAGAGAGGGAAATTCGAATTTATCGTTTCAAATGTTTTCCAATCAATTCCAATGCCACAAAATCTCTACCAATGATAAATTACCCTATCATTCGTACCAGGATCCTGGTACGACAGGCAACATTATATTTATGAAGCATTTGGGTTTGAGGAGACAAATATGTATATTAATTGAAATTTCAAGAGAAATATACCTCTTTAAGAACAAAAAGCAATAAATTATTACTAACAATTTAAATAAAAAGGAAATATGATGCTTTAACACAACGTACACTAATATCAAGTAAAATAATCAAATTTTGTTCGTTTAGCTGTGTCTTCTGGACATTTGGTAATTAACGTATTATAGAGACTATAATTAAAAATATGATTTTTCAGAAACTTCCGGGATTTAATTAGATGTAATCGATTATAATTTAAAACAGCTGTGTCTGTTTTTTTTGAACTGCCGGCGTGTCAAACAAAGTGCGGAAAATTCGAACATATCATTTAGATATTTTTTCTAATTTTCGAAAATTGAGAGTTACCCGTAAATGGGACAAGCACCTCTCTCCCAACCTTTCGTTTCTACACAAAAAATACAGAAAAACATGGAGCCGTTTCAGAGAAAATAATTCTTTAAAATAAAATAAAATTGTCTTTGTTAGACGTATACAAATACTCGCATATTTTTGACAAAACACAGCCTAATTTAACGATCTGATTTTGATGAATACATTTAAATTAGAAAAGACATTTTATCTTCATAATTGTAGTTGTAGGATAACGCCAAAAAAATCAATTTTTTTTGCAATTTTCGAAAAAACAGGCATTTCAACGTATATGAGACGTGCACTATTCTCTTAAAAATTCTTTACGCTATCTGACAACGAAACTTAATAAAAAATGTGGACACATTATTTTGAAAATGTCCCACGGGATTCCTGTAGAGTAATTATCGCCCAAAATTAAAATACCCGTTTTAGATTCAAGGGGCCGTGACATCAACCAGATTGATTGGGGAATATCAATTTTGGAGAAAATCGGCTGAACGGTTTAGCCGCGAGCGTTGTTCACTGACAGACGAATAGACATTTTGCCGTCAATCGATTTTTCGGTATCAATGATTCACGAAACATGGATTCTGACTACACCACCTGTTAGATTACTATTTTCTAAATTTACCAAGTGGATTTATCCACTTTTTCGTTACCAGGGTCCGTCAGTAAGAGTTTTTGTGTTGAAAATTCGCCGTTTTTCCAGCAGCGTTACATAACTTTCTCTATTCTGTGTCAGCAGTAGTGAGAAAGTGACAAGCGTGCTAGAAACTAATTGAAAGAAACTTCATTACATAATCAATCACAGAATTCAGAATCGAGACCTGACGATTTTTGCCTTGACGAACGTCGCCCTGGTTCGCGTTTAACGACTTTGTTACCTTTTTCTCTAGAGACAAAATGCAAAAGTTTTATTTTTAATACTTTTTAAAGGGGGACCCGAGGAGGGATTACCGTATATGACATTTAAATCCTTTGACTTGAGCGTTCGTTAAATTCTAATGAAATGTTTCAAATTATGTATAATGAAACCCAAAATAGCGCCTCTTAAAACGTGAAATGAAGTAATAAATAATTGAGGCCCTGTGATGACAAATTACAAATCTGGAAAACATTTTAGCGTCCTCACCTAAAAATACGTATTTCAAATTTTACACTGCTGCAGAGCCATGATGCCCATTTAAAACGGCAAGGACAGGCTCTGGCGAAAGGGGAATTTCTGGTAATTCCTCTTCGAATATCCGTGTTATCGCCGGAGCTTTGACAAAAACTCTTTAACCTAGAGAAATCAAATTGTTTATGTGAGGGTGCTACGAACGAATGTCTTCTGCTACACGACGTAGGCCATGAGCAATGCAAGTAATGTGGAGCATTCTGGGGCTGAACACTACGAGAGTTTTAGCATATATTCTGTACTATCCGGCAGAAACGCCGAAAATCTCTCTCCGCGCTCTTCAGCTGGGCACAATAAAAGCAGTGCATCTCTCACAGTTCTTACAATGGTGGCATGGTTTGTTTTCTCTAAGACTCTGCACGTAATTAAATGAGAAGATTGTGTACCTTTGAAATTCAATATACTAACAACTACATTAGCTACATGCCTTCACAGGAATCAGTTGTGTCATCAATTAAAAGACAGATAAATTCATCTTCTACATCACATCTAATTTCTTTGAATACTTTTTGATAATAGTGGATTAATGTAGTTGTTCGAAAAGTGGGCTTGCCGGGAATTGTTCTGTTGGTGTATGTCTTTAAACAAAGCGCTAAATGTAGGACTTTCCTCCATTGTATATTAGGTGCGACAAGCTTCACATAACTCCTCAGTGAACTTATCTCTTATCATTTTTTTGGTACTCAAATCTAGATGATGTTAAATAGTATTTTTTGATGCATTTTCTATATGAGGTACAGTTTGCAATTGTTAATGAACTTTAAATTTTTTTGGTACAGTTCACTTGCTTTGAGCAAATATTTTTTCTCATCTCAAGTCAAATGTTCTCGCTGCAATACAAGGTTGCAGAGGGAAGCATACGAGCTCCTTTGACATGCTCTCTTTATTTAATTCACACGCAACACAAGTTAACGAGATCTGCTAAGAAACTAAATCAGCACACCAAAACAGACAAGCGGATCGATTTAAAGCAGATTTCGATCTGGTAATAAAGGGTACTGTAATTTCATAGCCAATGAGCACCAAATTAATCTCTCCACCCTGCGGCGGTCCTGCTGCCGTGGCCTCGTTTTTCGCACGAGGTTGTGACACTGACAGATGATGCAAATTCGACAGCTATCGCAACGATATAAACGGTATAAAATGATCGAGAATTATATACATACATACATTTATTGGAACTGCAATTGGGTATGACCCGGTGGCAGTTAAATGACAATAATTGCAAAAATTACAACAATTACATTAATAATAATAATTAATGGCAATAATAATAATAATAATAATAATATAATAATAATAATAATAATACCATAAAATACAGTACACGACGGGAAGCAGCATTGAAAAGTGCATTGATCACGTTCACCGCACTTTCACTTCACTCACTTCACTTCACAACACTACACTTTTTTGCTTTGAATTACACTGACCAGCACAATCACAAGCACTTCACCGCACTACACAGCACATACTAATTTAATATCTGTTACTATCATCTTGTTCTAATTTGTTTCTAAATCTTTCGGACATTGAGAGGAAAAGCTTTGAAAACTGCTGCAGGTAAACTGTTCCAATTTCTAATTGTTCTGTTTACAAAAGGAAAACTTCCCCAAGATCTGAATTTTGTGTCCTTGCTCGAATTTTGTGGGTTGTGATCGCTTCGGCCGAAATAATTTGGTTTTTCTAGTCTAATCTGAATTTCCTTCCAAGCTCCTTGACCTACGTACGATTTATAAACAGCGCAAAGCTTCGCCTTTGTTCTTCTCGTTTCTAGAGGTTCCCAGGTTTTTTGTTGCGTTACTTCTATAGGTAAACTTATTCGCTTTTCTCTGTATTCTATCTATATTTTTCCGGTGCGCCTTTCTGTATGGTTCCCAACACGCAACTCCGTATTCCATGAGAGGGCGAACCAGCGTAAGATATGCTAATTCTTTGGCGTTTGCAGAACTTTTCTTTAGTATTCGCATTACAAAATGCAAAGACTTCCACGTTTTTTTACTGTCTGATTTATATGCATCTCCCACCCTAATTTACTATCTAGATGAATGCCTAATACTTGCATGACGAGACTCTTGGGATGATAACCTCACCTAAACGATAGTCTGGTTCCTCATAATTTCGTCCCCGCCCGAACGTTATTGTTTTGCTTTTAGATCCATTAATTCCCATGTCATTTTTTTCAGCCCAATCACGTAAATGCTCTAAATCTTGCTGTATTTGTTCGTCAGCGCTATATTTGATTTTTTGGTATATAACACAATCGTCTGCAAATAAACGCACCTTTGATTGTATGTTCACATGGAGATCGTTCAGATACGCTAAGAAGAGTAATGGCCCTAACACACTTCCCTGTGGAACCCCTGAAGTAACATTCCCCGTATGAGTGGGAACTTTACATGCTTCAATTAGCAGGAGTGCTCAAGAAGGGAGGGGGTACCAGGGGCAACTTGCTGCAAGCCCCGACTCAAACTGTGGCCCTTTTTTTAAAAAAAAAACAACAAAGTTATTTACTGCCAATTCAATTTAATTGCTAAACTTTTCCGTTGCATGGCGAAGTGAATATTTTTATTGGGGGGGGGCTTCTGTTTCAATTAAGAGGACCCTGTGTCTACTGTCCCAGGCCTCTTGTGATATCTTGGTGACCCTATCAGTTGGTCAGGGGAGAAATACCTTGTGGCCGCCTGCTGGGAGTGACTACTTACGTGCTTTACTGATTTCAAGATTTCGGCTTCTCTCTGCGCGAATATACGCTCGTGCTCGTCCGATAACTCCACAACCTTCATGGCGAGGCGCTTCTGGTTGTTCGATTTCTGCAAAAAGTGTTTGGGAAGGAGGGTCATTCATACAAGTCACATATTACTTTCAGTACAATTCACATGGTTCCCGGAGAATTAGATGTATTGCTAACTTCTAGTGTACTCATTCCCAAGTTATAGGAACTCTTAATAAAATTAACTATTTTCCCAGTGCTTCAAAAATATTTCGCTTAACTTCGAATCTAATTATTATTCTTCATTAATATTTTTTGTCGTCCTGATATAATTTTCGTAACACTAAATCTAAGAACATTAAACATTTTTTAAACGAAATAAAATTGAAGTAACATTTATCCTGTATTTTACTGTGATGTTTTGTACATCCGTCCTTGCACTGAATTAATCATCTCGTAATTATATTTGGGATAATATTTTTTTCTCTAAAGGTTTGCCAACCAAACTCGATAATTGAGCTGATAATGAAAGTAACACTATCTTTAGCAAGACAGCGTTTTAGCTAGGCTTTAGCCTAAGCTACGATATACATTTACGGTCTTGGGAAGTTACAATAAACTGTTTGACGGATAGAACGGAATTCTACTGTTATTGCTTTAATAGACCAACTTATCAAGATTTTGCTTTTCCAGTTCTTCTGGATATCTTTATTATTCCTTTAAAATTACTAAAATCTATGCTTTGTTTACAAACAATGTTCTGAACATTCGCCTTTCGAGATTATTTTCAGAGCATTAATTTTTAATGAGTGGATACATGTTACTTGAGAAAATATGTCGCAGGAAAGAATACTGATCATGTTTTTTATTATTATTTTTTGCAAGTACTTTTTCTTTGCATTTACAATTTTTTTCAATTTAATAAATAAAATACCTTAGAACACGGGATAGATGATAAAACGACTGAAATACATGCATATTTCCCCTAAAGAAATGCCCTACAAGTTAAAAGGAATATTTTCTGTCTTTAAAAGAACGTTACCCGGATTTTACGATATTATGCTTCAGTTATTCTCGTATATTGAAAAATATGCTTCACCTGCTGTATAAACTTTTTTTTGCTTTTCTTTGCGAGTAAGCCGAAACCTAATACAATAAGGGATTATCTTTCGTTGGTGATTACAAGAATGAGGCAATATGCATGATGGCAATGAAGAATGAATGTTCAACTCCGACACAAAACTCTCCAATATTATACCAAAAGTTGAAGTGTTAAAAATTCTTCGTTGATTCGTCTTTTATAGACTGTCATTAACAAATCGTCAGACGTTTTCGGTTCGGCACTCGATATTTGGGTCTCATCACAAAATCTCTCTTCGATTTTACTTCTTTTATCTTGAAATTTCTATGATAATTTATGTACTATTTCTCTGACTTATCTTTGGAATTTGTCATTTTCACTCTCTGTAGTACTATTCAAAATTATCTTCTGTAGTACTTAAGTTATACAATTAAAATTGTCTTCAGCAATACTACTCAAAATTATTTGTAAATAAATTATGAAAAAAATATTAACAATAACTACAAGCTTTCAAAGTTACTAATTCATTATTTTACGGTACCGTAAACACCACTTCCATATACTGAGAAAGGAAAATTATAGGCAAAAATTATGTATTATCCATTAGGACTTTATCTTAATGGGCGCACAATGATTGGATACAAGTAGCCAGTTAGCACTGGATATGCTCTTGGGTACTGGGAATAAATGATGATGCAAATCAATACTTACTTTATCGAAGAGGAGGTACACTTGTCCAAAGCCTCCTTCACCGAGGCGTGCACCAACCAAGTATTTTTCTATCAAGTCAGCCGGAGCCCTGAAAGATTCGCTGGCCACTCGGTCGATGAACACGTATTTTACTGTACAAAATAATAAAAAATATTGTAAATTTAATTTAATTTTATATTTTCTTGTTCGGTTTCTCGAACATTCAAAGATGATTATACATGTACATTAACAGAAAGTTTTAGACTTCGAAAACAAGTAGAGCAAACTCTTGGGAATTAAAGTGCAGATTGACTCGCCTATGATTTTTATTTTGTAAGTTTCTAGAAAACTATTGAATTCGTGGAAAGGATTTCTTTAACTATGTAGGGAAACTACTGAAGGCCTTTGGATATCTCACCCACAATAATTATGTAGTCCATTTTTGATAGAAATAGGTAAAAATTAGCTCCTCTAATCGTCATCGTCATAATTAATATAGTTAAGTCCCTACGTTTCTGGATGAAAAAACGATATTATTCTCCTACTTTACTCTTGAGCGGTGTGATCCGGCGCACTGTAAATGAACGTATTAGCAAACGTCTGATTATGATATGACGCTATCAATATGTACGTTGTCGAAGAAATCTTGTCTGTATAACGGATTCAATGACCTTGATAATAGACGTTTTCGTTGATATTTTCATTCAACAAGGAATAATTTCACGAGTAGGGGGTGTGATAATATTACTCAGTATTCACCAGAGACAGTTGAGAATTAGATACGTCTCAAGAAGCCCGGATGCCCGATTGTGTATGGAAGTCAGAAATGGAAAGATTGGAAATTGAGAACTCCCAACGAACAACCGTTATTCGGCTTCCCTGTGACTCACCGCCGCCGACGCCCAGGCCGATCTTCGCGCCGTGGTGCAGGGTCTCCTCCTTGCCGCGGCTGAGCTTGCGCCGGTCCACGGAGACGCCGCTGGCCTCGCCGCGCAGCGCCACGCGGCCCGAGGTGGCCGCGCGCAGCACCCGGAAGAAGACACGCGGCGCAGTGCTCTCCTCCACGCCGAGGGCAGACGCCTCAATGCGCAGCGGGCAGCTACGCCCACACCCCACAGACGAGTCGCCCAGCTTCAGCTCTGCGCACAACGCCAATACATGGCCGACGCTACACACCAGGGTCAGATTTAGCTTCTGCCTCCCCTCCCCCATGCCAAAATCAAGTCGGGGCACTTAATCACACATTAAATAGCTGATGAGATCAGATTAAATAATAATGTTTTCGTTTTGCATTCACAAATTTATTTTAACACTTTACTTAACTGAGTCTTCTTCTCACTTTTAGCACTAATACTACTGAAACTTCTCACTTTTAGCACTAATACTAAAAATAGTACGCTTCGCATCCCTTGAAACAACCACTTTTACTAGTAGCTGCCTCAAAATACATTAACTATCATACACCAGAGTAACTTTTTGTTCAAACATAAATGAAATGAGCAAATTGCTCTACAAATTACAACTTTTGAGTACAGTACACAATTATTACTTTACAGATTTTAACGTTTTCGTCGATTATTTTATGATCCTTTTTCCGGGGCATGCCCCTTTCCGTGGATGTAGTGTGGTTATTTTGCTTATAGGTATAGGAGGGTTGTCTTTTATATTTCAGGATTAAAGAACAAAAACAAATATTATATCATTGAAAATCACTTTATTGGTTTTCAGAATATTCCCAATGAAGATCTGTATACTTTTGCATGCGTTTGAACCAATTGTCGAAGCACTTTATCCACTCTGCGGTATCTCCAAAACTTGCATTCTGAATGCAGCAACAAATTCTTCAGGTGTCGAAAAACGTTGACCTCTCTGTTTTTTTACGTACGGGAATAAAAAGAAGTCATTCGGTGCCAAGTCAGGACTGCACGGCGGATGACTCATCAAATCGATGTTTTGGGTGCTCAAAAATGCAGTTGTTTGATCCGATGTGTGAGAGCTCGCATTGTCGTGGTGAAGAGTGATCCGTTTTCGGTGGTTGGTTTTCTTGATTTCTTGGAAGACAGCTGGTAAACAAATCGTTGTGTACCACTCAGAATTGATTGCTGTGCGTTATTCTAGTGGTACGGTTGCGACATGTCTAGTTTTTCTGAAAAAAAACAGGCGACTATCTGTTTGGAAGTGCTTCGTGCGCGGACAACTTTTGTTGGATTTTTCTCATCTTGAAACACCCATACAGTCGACTGCTGTTGACTTTCGTGCTCATAAGCGTAAATCCACAATTCATGTTTCATTCATGTAAATCCACGACGTGTTTCGAAGCACCGCGATCGTATTTTTTGAGCATTTCTTTTGACCAATCGAGCCGAGCCTTTTTTTGAGCGATTGACAAATTGTGTGGGATTCAACGCGAACAATGTTTTTTGACAGTCAAAGGTTCATGCAATATGGAATGTATGCTGGTCTCATTAATGCCTAAGATTGTCTCAATCTCACGATAGGTCACATGACGATTTTGCAATATCCGTTCACGCACAGCATCAATGGTTTTCGGAACAACTGATTTTGGACGACCTTCGCGAAATTCGTCTTGGTGTGAACTACGACCACGATTGAGTTCACCATACCATCGATAAACACTGGTCCTTGATGGAGCTTCATCGCCAAAAATTGAATAAAGTTCATCCATGCACTGTTGCTGAGTTAAACCACGTCGAAAGTTGTAAAACATAATCGCACGAAAATGTTCACGATATAATTCCATTTTTGGGCCAAGATGAATATTTTAAGTTAATGTAAACAACTCAAATAGCTCTCGTATGTCAAAAGGTTCTGAGTACGTATAATCTCAAAACATCCAACTTTACGATAGAGCTGTCAGTTGCCAGATTGCAACACCAGGGTTGCCAAATCCCGAAACATAAAAGGCAACTTTCGTACATGGCTTTGCCAAACAGAGATCATAAAATCACCGCACAATACGTGTTTGCTACTGGGGACACACAATTCATTGTAAGTTCATGGAAGACTAAGGGCCGGTTGTACAAACGAAGTATAAAACTGCGGTTAGTAACACTCAAGTATTGCTTAACACTGGGTTAAATAGGGCGACCTGTAGTACGATACTTAACTTCACCGGTGTAACATAACCATCAAATAAGGGGAATGAAAGTTTGTTGGCAAAACTGGCGATTGTCGTTTGTCGAAGAAATATTTTAATGTTTATCGAAAGATTCTTCTATACTGTGGTAGAGTTTGAATCGACTTCACCACCTAGTTGTCGAGTAAACCGGACTTTTATGATGACCTGACAGTGCCGAGCTGAAAGTTTAAAATTGTGGTTTGAGATGAGTTATTACAAATAGTTTGGTCATGTACTGCTCCTGCCAGCGAGCATCAGAATTCTGAATCTTGAAATCAGTTCTCCTCACCAGGCACAGTTTTACTTTCGACGAGAATATGCCATCTGTCCATATTATGTAATATGTGAATGTGTAATCTTAGGACTTTGTATTTTAATGTGGGTGCAGTCAATAGCGCCAATTATTGTTGGGAAAGCTGCTTTCTTCTAAAACCGTTGTCGAGCACGATTGCTGTCCAGTGCACTTTTGGGGAAGTAAATGAATGCTGGGGCTAATTTCGCTATTGCCTGTCTAATTTTGTTAATTATTTTATTTGCGGACCATTTATCCAGCCCACAAAAATCATATAAAATTATAAATGATCGAGTAATAAATTATAATTCTCTCAATGCTAGAAGGGGCTGGATTATTGGCGGTATAGACTGATTCCTGTAAGACTAACATAACTTTCATGTAATATTTTTATACTGCACAAAGCCGGACATTTGTCAATTTTAAGGTTTCAAATATAATAAATAATATAACATATTTGATACAAAAACTAATATTTCATGGACTTTCCTGTTTGTAGTGTGTTTAATGTCATTTATAAGCGTTTATAAGCGTCAAGTTAATAATCTTTATAAACTTAATAAATCTTTCAAACTTTCTTTTCTTAACAGTCATATTCAATAAGAAAGTCTGACTTCCTCCTCACCTTTTTAAACACATCTGGAGTATTTCTTCTTCTTCACTCTTGTCAGAAAAAAAATACTCCAGAATTTCATACACTTCAGTCACGGTGTGCTACAGATTTTCCTATTACTCGGCTGGCAATATGCGGTGTACAGGTTAACACGCTGATAACTACCCATTAACTACGTGTGAGGTCGCAGGATACCTTAACACCTTGTTATCCCACAGTTAACCCGTATCCCGAGTTCGTACAACCAAGCGGTAACAGCGTGATAAAAATTATCCCGAGTTTATTCCGCGTTCGTACAACTGGCCCTAAGTGAGAGGCAGCAGATACCGCCACCGATCGCTTAATGAGACGCGTCTGTCTCAAGCTTTCATTCAGTCTTCCAGGCACACAGTGCTGCTGAGAGACTTTCGAATTACTAATTACCGGATGATGTTCGCAAGAGTATTGGGTTTATAGCCAACAAAGATATTCTCCTTAATCTAGTGGTTTCGTTTGTATGATATTCCATTTAGTTTTTGGGAACTTGTGGTGGAAACTCAAATCTCAACAAATTGCGTTTTCATAACGGCGGACAGCTTGAAGAGGGGAAAGGGAAAACAGATGAGATAGTGGAAATAGTATCTTGTTCCTGTGAAAATTTGTAATTACAAATAAATCTGTTCCCTATTAGTTATTGATCACAGTACTGAGTCAGTACAAAAAAATTAACGTATCTCCGTCTCCTTTTTACGTTCTCTCTACGGAGTAGAGAGAAAATTATGTAGTGCTGCGTGAAAAAAACTGCGAATTTTCGGCAGAAAAACTCTTTTTTACTGAGCCCTGGTAAGTAGATAAATCTCCTTGCTAAATTTAGGAAAAAATATCCTCTATCACGTGGTGTGGACAGAATCCATGTTTTATGGGTCCTTGATAGCGAAAAATTGAATGGCGGCAAAAGGTCTGTCCTCTGAACAACGCTAGCGACTAAACCGTTCAGCCTGTTTTCTCCAAAATTATAATCTCCAATGATCTTGCTGAATTCGTGGCCTCTTGCATCCGTCCAACTGCTTGTGAACCCAATTAGCGAACTAAAGCACACATAGGATTTTTTCAAATGACCTTAAATGTATTGAGATCATTAAGTTTTCTCAAGATAAAATTGTTACACGAATCACTAAATAAATTTATCAAATTGTGTACAAATAACAATCTTAATTTTAATCCTTCTAAATGTAAAAACGCAAGAAATTGTTACTTTCTCGGTACCGCTTACGCAGTGGAGAAAATGTTATGAAATGCTTTGCGAAAAAACGGCAAATTTTCAACAGAACACTCTTATTACAGGGCCATGGTAATGAAAATTGAAAAGCGTCATTACTTCATTGGTACACATCATGAGTGCGATTGTGTGTCGCCTACTGTTGTGTGCTCTTATGGCGGCTACACACGTTGAAGCGTACTTGTCAAGCATGCTTGCCCAATCACGATTGTTCAAGCATTTTGATTCTACAAGCGGCTTGAGGATTGATGGAAATTTCATGATGCATGCTTGTACATGCTCTTCCTGCACTGATGGATTGGACGTGTGTACGAAGGTGATGCAAGCTTGTGCAATCGAGTGTGTGTTGATCGTCTGGAGTTGTAAAGTGTACGGTTTTTAAACGTGATAAAATTTTATTTCCACCACCATGAATGATAAAAAAAAGTTTGTAGTGAATCAAAAAAATTATTAGAAGACTTTATTCGTGTTTACGAAAATAATTCATGTCTGCGGCGTGTAAAATCAAAAGATTATCACGATAAAGCCAAAAAGGAAGCTGCTTACGATTTATTACTACAGCAATATAAACTTATAGATCCTAATGCTGACAAGAATGTGATAGTAAAGAAGATAAATGCCTTGAGAACCCATTATTGGAGAGAAAAGAAGAAAGTCGACAAATCTCGACACTATGGCATTGGTACAGACGAAGTATATGAGCCTTCACTTTGGTACTACCACTTGTTTGCCTTTTTGTGAGATCAGGAAACTCCAAGGGGCTCTTTATCAAATTCAGAAATAGAGATAAGTTTTATTTTTTGCTATATACACTTATAAAAGGCACACACATATTTTAACTATAAAAATACATTCAATAAAACATCAATAGGTTCACACTTTTTCATTTTCAATTAATAAATTTTAGTTGCCAAGGGGTTTGTCCTTCATTGGAGAAGTAATTCACGAATTCTTGTTTTACTTTTTTTAGCATCAAGTCGTGAGTTTCGAGCGATATATGATGATTCTAAACGTAACATATTGGAATTCTCTGAATGTAAACCAACATGGGTTGTGCCATTTTCTAATTCATCAATGTCAACAGAATCAGATGGGGCGTAAGTTGAAACCAGTCGACATTAAATAATTATGTAAATCACACGTAGCTTTTACTACTTTATCAATATGATGTAGTTCTAAATTGATAGCGGTGTGAAAAATTCTAAACCGTGCCGCCTATATTCCAAAACGTTCTCAATAATTCCTCTTGCTCTTGATTACCGGTAGTTGTAAATTTTCTTTTCAGTACAGTTTAAATAACCTTGCCTGAACGGTTTTAGGATATCACTCCTTAAAGGAAAAGCATCGTCTGCAATGAAAACATATGGCAGTTTTCGTGAAGTATTCGTGACTTCTTTACTTTTTGGAATGTTTAGTGAATTTTCCTGTACTCGTCTAAAAAAATCCGTATTCTGAAGGACACTTCCATCTGAGATTCTGCCATTTGTACCGAAATCAAACAAAATAAATCTATAATTTGCATCTGCAATGGCAAGTAAAACCATACTGTGCCTATGTTTGTAATTAAAAAAAAGGAACCACTTCCAGGAGGAATTATTTCGATATGTTTTCCATCTAGGCATCCCAGGCAATGAGGGAAATTCCACCTCTTTTCTAAATCTTGGGCTACTGTCATCCAATCATGTTCAGTTTTTGGCACCTGTAAAATATACAAACATTAGATCACAAAAATTATAACTCAAATTATACATAATAGGTATGTACATGTTTTTACAAATACATGATGTATTTTTTTTCCCAGGAAGATGAATTTCAACTACCAATCGTAAACTCTGGTGAACTCCTGGAAGAATATGTCGAGGAAGAAGAACCTTCACAAAGTTCTCATTCAAAACATTATACATCCGTCTCTAATAATAAGTCAACATCTACAAAAAAGACATCTCCTACTAGACCCTCTAAACGAAGTAACGATAAATTGGATAGTGTACTTAATTCAATTGATGACCATTTTAAGAAGCCGAAGCTTAAAGATGATAGACATGATATTTTTGGTAAAAATGTGGCTTGAAGATGAGGGACATATCCAATAATACCCAAAGATTAGCTGTTAGCAGAGAAAATAATTAACGATGCTTTATTCATGGCTGAAATGGGTCAATTGACTTTGTCACATTCTATTCGTGGCTGTTTTGTAACTAATAATGAAAATGTAATTAATAATGACGAGTACCCTCAGACAGGATCATATTGCTATCAAGGTCTTTATCCGGAATCTTTAAGCGATGCGGCAACAAATAGCGAAAATTCCAATCAGTCACTCACTTCATATGTTACAAATTTCAGTGATACATGAAAATCTTTAATAAATAGATAATTATTATTAATAACATGTATTTCACTTACCTTTAAATAATTTCTCTTCAGAACCTCGTAAATAGCATGACAGGTTTCAGGAACTAAATAACTCAATGCCTGTGGTGAAATTATAGTTGAATACTTTAAATCTTCGTAACTTCTTCGTAATGAGGAATCGTAATGTGTCCGTTAATCTTTCATGTGGCGTTATAGCTTCTCGCGTAATTGTATCCTTCTTTTTAATTAAAGGTGTCACGAGTGACAGAAGGTGAAGGTACGTTTCTTCATCCATTCTTAGATAATTATGCCAATCCCGTGGATATATCTTTATTTCACTCAATAAGTTGGTATGTGAAAAGGTTTTTCTTTTCATTAACCAACATTTGCTCCACAAGGCACGTTTCTTCTTCTGAGTTTTTCTTTTGCAAAGAAGAACAAAACCAGCCCAAGCGAGTGCATCTCCGTGTTCCGTACTCGACATTTTCAAACAAACTGACGCTTGTGCAAGCTTGCTTGTACCGTGTACAGGTGATGGAAATTTTTGCATGCTTGCACAATTATGATTGTGCACGCATGCTTGACAAGTATGCTTGAACGTGTGTAGCCGCCTTTATTGCAATTTCTGTCTTTAATATTTCTGTCTATTTGAATAGGGTAATGTGATGTTGCCACTTACTCAGGCGACAGTTACATGGTCGTTCTGGTATAAGATTACAGCAGCAACAGAAGCAAGACAAAGAAAGAAATCGCGATAAGAGAACACAATAGTAGGCAACACAATCACAAACACGATGTGTAACCAACGAAGTAATGACGCGATTCAATTTTCAGTTGCTTCTCGCTGTTATTTCATTTTTTTCTTAATGCGTATCGACAACTCTGAAGTGACCATCAAAATTTGAAGCATTTTAATGAATATCGGAACAGCCCCTCCCTTATCAGTCACTAGCTGTCAAGTCGTCAGAAATATTATTCGGACAATACACATTTTATCGTAAATACTGAACAAATTTTGACTCCGTTTTCGTAGATTTCTATTGTTCGCTGGATATCACGCGAACTCTTTCTTGGAGCTTTACTAAGTGACAGTTCTCTGAACGATATTTGGTACTCTGGTGACAGTTCTCTGAACGATATTTGGTGCGAAAACATAAGCGAGAAGGAGGATCTCATAGTTGTTGAAGGAGTAGCACAAAAGTGTAGAACAGCATAAAACTGGGAAAATTGGTGTCGGTGGCGAGTGACAGCCTCGTGGTGGACTAGATCGTGACTGATTCGTGGAACAGTGGTTCTGGACGTGGAACAGTGATTCTGCATGGTGTGATGTGAGTTCGTCAAGCTGCATGACTGTTGTTATGAATGTTGTTGAATACCAATTAAAGCATATTGGCGGCTAAAGTGGTGTTTTTGTTCATGCATTGCGAGTGGGCTAGGCGTGTGGGACGCTTCCAACACGGACAGCGCCGAACCATATCAAGCGGAACCGAACATCCCCGAAAAAACAGAGGATGAGGAAATTGCTTAGGTATATAATCGGCGTTCATTAGTATCTGTGCAATATTTTCGTGAGATATTATTATTTCACTGATGAGGAAAATGCAAATGACTTCATAAATCGTTTGTATAAATAGAGTAATAATGTATTTGAGATGAAAATTCACAATGTATATCAGAATGAAGGCAAGTTAAAGAAAAACTAGAGGCTCTTGTTAACACTTAGATTATGTTTATAATTGAAGTTATGAAGATGTATATTGTTAACCTTTTTCATGTGGAATTGTAATAATTTGAAAAAATGATATTGTGAGCGTAAAATGAGTGCGGTCGAAAAAGAAAAATATAATAATAAAAGTAATTGTAAATGAAAGTTATTAAGAGTTTAATAATTATGATATTGGAACAAATTAATCAAGGTGATCACTAATATGATTGTCAGGAATTATTAAAAATAAATACGATTTTTGTTGCTTTTAAATATTTTTTATTGTGAAGTTAGTACATGTGATCAATGAGATTGTTACCCCAAAAGGATTCCTGATCAACATTATTTATTCATGATTTTCTCAGTAGATAAAACTAATGTGTAGTTATCGACTTACCCGTTTGCTTATTACGCCTATCAAAAAAGGATTAATGGTACACACACACACACTTCATATCGCTGTCCGTCCGTCCGACAGTCAGTCAGTCAGTCAGTCCGTCCCAGTCAGTCAGTCCGTCTGTATCTGTCTGTCTGTATCTGTCTGTCTGTATCTGTCTGTCTGTATCTGTCTGGCTGTCGTGTCTCTCTCTCTCGCCTGTCGCTGTCTTCTCTCTCTCGCTGTCCTGTCTCTCTCTCTCCCTGTCCGTGTCTCTCTCTCTCTCGCTGTCTCTCTCTCTCGCTGTCTCTCTCTCTCGGCTGTCTCTCTCTCTCGCTGTCTCTCTCTCTCGCTGTCTCTCTCTCTCTCGCTGCTTCTCTCTCTCGCTGTCTCTCTCTCTCTCGCTGTCTCTCTCTCTCTCGCTGCCTCTCTCTCTCGCTGTCTCTCCTCTCTCGCTGTCTCTCTCTCTCTCGCTGTCTCTCTCTCTCCTCGCGTCTCTCTCTTTCTCGCTGTCTCTTCTCTCTCGCGTCTCTCTCTCCTCGCTGCTCTCTCTCCTCGC